TTCGCGTGCACAAATGAAATATCACACCGCAATTCGCGTTACTTGTGACAACTGGCGGTGAATTTTAATTAGAGGTGTCAACGCGCTGTAAGGGGTTAACAATATTCAAAAATTGTTTTTTTGCTTTAACTTAAAAAGTAAAAAAGCCCTTTCCCCCAGTCTTTTTGCAAAATATTTATCTCAGTCTTCTCAATTTGAACAGCCAAAAAAAGGGTTTTCGCATTTTTCGTAAAAATCCACCTATCATGATACCTTACAGACCAGTTCGGGATTTGATAAATGGGATCTAGACGAAATGGAGGGAATATATCTTTTTAAGATGTTCGGTGCGTATTTACCTTTCAGTATCCATAAGAACAAACCTTTGAAACTGCAACTACGTGCCTGTTTATCAAAGTAAAAGATTACGTATCAAGCCGGATAGAGGCCCACGGGGAGGTAAGCCCCGGTTAAGTTGGGTAGGGGTGTGCGGCCCGCTTCCCAAAACCCTTACCCTATTTAAGACCAAAATCTGTGATTTTCCTTACCCTATTTATGAAGTGAGCAAAATTTTAATGGCCCTTAAATCAATACCCTGTTTCAGGCCTGCCCTATAACTTATTCCTTTGTTCAATCCATGTTAAAGGCATCGTGAAGGGCTTTTGCTGATGATCGATAATGATAAAAAAGTAGCTTCTTCTAAAAAAAAACATACCCACTTCAAGACTAGAGTGTAAAAACCATACCCTATGACCAAAAGGGCCAAAATGAATACCCTATTTCTGACCAAAATGGCAAAAAAAAAAAGCATACCCTTTAGGGCCACACATGCCTATATAGCCCATATAGTGGAACACCCCCCCCCTCCCCCTTCAAGCTGGGCAGTTAACCCAACCGAGATAGTGCAATTGAAGTGCGAGCTGGAAAGCTACATGCACACACACTTTATTTAAACACGGTAAAAACATTAGTTACAATATTGAGATTTAAAAAAAAAATGATTTACATGTTTGCCGTGTGGGAGTACGAGGAGGACATTTGACGATTAATCTCATTTTTAAAGTTAATAACAGATCTAATGGCTCTGACGTTAGATGGAAGGCTATTCTACAAATGTGCTCCACTGTAGCAGAAACTACGTTTAAAAATATCGCCGGGTCGGGGCTTAGGCAGAGCTAATTTGTTTTCAATATTTCTGAGTCCGTAGTCCGTGCTGAAGGGTTTAAATAGGCCTTTCAGGTTCTCCGGAGACTGATCATTTATAGTTTTAAACATTAATTTCAATTTTTGCTTTTTCCTTCTGATATAGCGATTATCCCATCCTAGCTTAACGCGTGGGAACGTAGCGTTAGAATGGTAATCAGACTTTGTGATGACCCTAATCGCGCGATTTTGTAGTTTTTGTAATTTGTCTGCTAACTCGTTGTTGAGACCGTCCCACACAGGACAGCAATAATCAAAATGTGGTTCGATAATAGCTCTATATAGCAATATAGCTGTATCTTCGCATATGAACAGCCTCAACCTTTTAAGTGCACCTGTACCAGAGGAGATAACCTTGGCAGTCTCATTAACATCTTTGGACCACGAAAGATTTTGATCGATGCAGACTCCTAAGAATTTGGGGTGGAGCACTCTATCAATTTCGTGACCTTCAATTTGTGCAGTGAGTGAATGGCTAACTCTCTGACGTGAGCCTATTAACATTAGTTCGGTTTTTGCAATAAATTAAACCCCCGGTTTTCTTGCTAGCTTCCCGTAATAAGAAACAACAAAATTCTTGAACGAAAGTCGCATTAGTCAGTCAGCTTTAGGTGTTGCGGTGAAACACAAGCACAAAAATCAAGACCTTTCGTAATTGCATGGCGCGAACGTTTTCATGATCAATATTTTACCAGTGTTCCAAACTATAACTTTTATTGATGACTTTCTGAAATTTCTTCCTAAGTCTGGGAATGCACTGATGAATCATTTGACAGAAAACACTCCCGGATGACACATTTCATGTAATTGGAAGTGTTGTCAACTTGTGCGTGATTCAGTGAAGGAAGGGATAATAGAAAATCGATTTTGCCCGGAAACATCTGCCTCTATTTTGACATTACAATTTTTACTTTAATAAAGAAAGCAAATCTGTAGAAACCATCACTTGCTAATAATGATAAGTGTTCACGGAATCGAAGTCTAAATGGCTCCGTGCAACATTTGAAGCCATAAACTAAAAGGCAAAAATTGGTTAAGCATCTGCAATGTAAATTGTGTCCTCACTTATGCTAATGATGTATGAGGTCTTTATATTCGATTTATATCAACAACGACAAGCTTTATGTCTCCAATTCGCTCCACATACAGATATCTGTGTACAATTTAAAAGAAGAGAGGGGTTTGATACTTGAAATAACTACACAGTAAAAGAAGGCGGGTAGCAAGTTTTTCTAATACGTTAATGCAAGTTTAGGTCGGTACACAACCCGCAGGCAAACACATTAAAATATTTACATACTTTATGTACATAAGCAGCTTTAGGAGAAATTTGGCGAAGGAAAATAAAAAGAACTGAATAAGGAGGAAGTAAAGCAGACGAAATATTCAATGTATCCCAGAATTAAAACTGGGAAAAAGAGCAGGATATAATGTGGCCTCGATGATGGGTTGTTTTTCGCTCCTGTTAAGCGGCCTTTTGCGTGCAATCGATCGCCACTTAACAGGCTTTTTTGAAAGGTTGCTAATGGCTTTAAAGACAAGTGCTGAAGTTCAAATAAAAGGCAGGCCTAATTGTCTAGACACACGGGTTAGCCTGTCACAGAACTTAACATCTTGTTGTCCTTGTTAATGGCTTAAAAGTTTGCCTGATTATAGCGGTGGTTTTATTTTCAAAGGAGGATGATAAAGTTTACAATTTACGAAGCAAGCAGTGAACGTCAATAAATAATACAATGTACCTGTGGCAACTAGTTTTTCTTGATCAATTAGAGTGACAGCAACTAATTTAATTTCACTACCATCTGCTCTTCATTAAAATGCTGTCCCAGCAACAATTCGTTTCCTTCCAAAACTTTATTTACATTATATTTTGTTGTTTTCGGCGATTTTAATAAATCAGTTTAATAAATAGAAAGTAGAAATCGGTCTAAAATATAATTCACGGTTGTAGTCTGGCTTCCCATTGTGATGTTTCGAAAAATCGTGACCTAGGATTCGAATTAAGATGTTTTGTTTTTTTGTCATGCAAATAAAGGGTTGGACATTCGTTCTAATTTTCATATATATTAAAAACGAGATATAACAACGAATCTCAACAATTTTCCCCCTAAAACAGCAAAATTCTCCTTTTAGTAACGCATTTGTAAAGAGATAGATGGATAGATTAATTGAGGAAGAAACCCAAAATTAAACCATTTAAACAATAGTATAAGAATAGATTTACCTAATCTCTTCAAGGTGAAATTATTACATGTAAATAATACAATAGTACAACAAATTTGCATCTGTTTTGGACATTTGTTTCCTTTGCAGGAAACAGGTGGCAATTTTGAAGCCAGTTTTATCGGTTCAAAAAGGGAAGTAGTCAATTTAAGCGGCTTTAAACGCTTGACGATCTTAAACCGTCTGATGCTCGAGGGAAGACTGATCTAAGCTACATTTCACGGTCAGGCTCAACATCGCTCAGTCAATTCTGTTATAAATTACAGGCTTAACAATGGCAGCAACTGAAAGCCCGTACTTTTCGACGTACGTTGTTAACTGTGCGATCAACGCCTTTTCTTCCTACACCGCCATCATGTTGAACATTTTAACAATCCACGCCATGAGAAAAACCTTATCGCTGCCAAAGCCTCTGAAAGCACTGCTTCTAAGTCTGGCAGTTTCTGATCTTGCTGTTGGATTAGTGGCCCAACCTTTTAACATCGGAATTATGGTCGTGCTGTTAAAAAACACGCTCCCCCCTAGTTCCACTGGCAAGTTGTATTCCTTCTTCACAAATATATTTAGTTGGACCTCATTCTTTGGCGTTGTGGCCATAAGTGTAGACAGGCTCTTAGCGATTCAGCTTCATCTCAGATACCAGGCACTTGTGACTCACAAGCGTGTTGTTGCAGTGGTGATCTCAATATGGGTGTTCAGTATAATTCTTTCATCTATACTGACGTTCCGTTTCATCCCAATCAACGAGATAACCAGTGTAGTTTTAGCCGTCACGATGGGTCTTTGTTTTATTTGTACAGCAATTATTTATTGCAAAATATATATCACTGTGCGACGACACACAAACCAGATTAACGTTCTGCAAGTACCGCAACAAGAAACACGGAATGGAGAACGAGCGAATGCTGCGAGGCAGAGAAAATCTGCCGTCGGTACATTTTTCATATATCTTGTATTTTTAATTTGTTATCTTCCAGAGTATTGTAGGTTTCTTCTTAATTTGTTGCTGCACAATGCATATACCATTCCCATGGTTAGATTTTACTACTTTTCTTGGACTCTGTTGTTTCTTAATTCGTCTTTAAATCCTTTAGTTTACTGCTGGAAGATGAGAAACATTCGACGCGCTGTCATGAACACAATACGAAGTATTTTTTCCAAGCCACAAGGAAATGACGCTACACTGAACAGCGACATCGAAGGCTGGAGCAACAGTGTTCGTCTAACAGTTCACTCGCGTCGTGATACTCATTTTTAGAAATTTGAGTTTCACCTGCGAACACTCAGCAACATTGCTACTGCTGATCAGTGAATTTTGTTTGAGAACGAAACTGATGTACCATATCGAATCAGTAGAAGTCTGTTGCCATCTTTAACGCTCATGTTGCAGTAAATATTTCAATGTTTTACCTTTATGGCTTAATTGTAAAGTCAGTTTTTCTTCATACTAACATTTACACGCGAACGGGGTTGAGCGGGGCTGAAGCGTAATATGAATATTACTATTGCGTTAAAATCCCGAAGGAATACATGTCAAAAAAATTTCAAGTTTTGTAACCTAGAAGTAGTTTGAAATACTTGTCACAGAAAACGAATATGGAATATCGTCATGGCATGTTTACGATAGGCTACTACAATTAACAGTCTTTTTATTTCAGTATTCAGGTTTAATTTATAATTACAACATGCCTCAAAATCCTGAAAAAGCGCGTTCCCCGTTGTGCGCAATTATTTGTCATTTTATTAATAGGGACCAAACCACGAACGGTGACGACGAAGAGGAAACAACTAAATAAAAGGTTTAATTAGGAGAACAATGGCTGTGTACGTGCGTTATAAATCTTTGTACATTTCTTAGCCGTCTTTTGCAAGACAACAACGTGAAATGACTAAATTCTGCGTATTGTGGAGAGTGCGAACGCCGGCGGCTAATGTTTCTTATTTCCATTTGAAATTTAATGCTGGCATTTACATTTTTCTGTGAGTAATTGGCGCGCTAAACACATCTAGACAATTCAGTTTAACTATAAATTCGTTTTTACGAAGCGCTGTCTTCAGGTTCATCGTTGTCGTTACTTAAGTTCCCTAGCGACGTGAAACGACGAAGTTCTGCGTATTTTGGGGAACTTGAAATTTTCGTATCTTTATTTGGAATTGAACGTTGGGCGAGTTCTAAGACCAATGTAAGAGCAGTGAACAGATCTAGACAACGGCGAAATTCAATTCGAAGGTAAAATATAAATTCATTTTTTATTTCGCTATTCCTCGGTGTTAGAGTCATCGTTGTTGAAGTTGCCTAATTTTGAAATCTCTCGAAATTAATATTTAGTTTTGGTAATGTCGAAATTATAACAAGTAATTTGGACGGCTCCCCACGCAATATAATGACAGGTAATACAGCAACATCCTAGTCCAATTTGGAAATAATTTCATTCAAAACATTCTTCTTATTGCCACATTGGACTCTGCCTCCGGGTTCGTCCAGTTTTGTCACTCCTCGGGAATTTTTTCATCGAATTAATTCCGAATTGGACAGCCTGCCGTGCTATTACTTATACTAATTTGTTTAGTATGACATGGCATTACAAATAGAATAAATAAAGAAACCAACCAATCAATCAATCAATCCCTTGGTGTCGAGGAGTTTCATTCGGTACACTGAAATAAGCAAACAAATGTTGTTATTCCTTCTCATAGACTAAAACCTCTGAAAACTTGTTTAAAAATCCCAACTGATTGAAGACTGCCAAGTTGGGTATTCACAAAGAGTGAGGGGTTGATTTCAGGAAGACCGAACTGACTCCAACTAGCGGCACAGAAGAGGTTTCGAACCCAGGACAATGACGACTAATTTTTCGTTTTTTCTTTTCGAATCGATCATTGTCATTACATGTTCAGTTTGAACAAATTATAGACCGAACAGATCTTGATAATTTCGAAATTCGAAGGAAAAATAATATATAAATTTAGCCAAGCCTAAAAGCGGAGCTCCCATAGAATACTAATCATCTACTCGACTCAATAACCTTCAGAGAAATTCACCAACAAGCATGTCATGATCACCAAACCGAATGAATCGAACAACAGCAACAAAAAGAAGCAAGGAAACTACATAAACACAAAATGCATATCAGTGATATCACCACATCTGAGAATCAAATAGCAAATCCCGTTCCCGGGGGGGGGGGGGCGACTCCCATATGAAGAGGTCGGGGAAGCTCGTCGTCTCCCTTAGGGGTATAAATCAAGGATTCTGGTCTCACTTAGGGTGTTTATGACGAAACGCCACTAGTTTTAGCTGTTAAAGCATCTCTTAGGGTGCACTCGAAGATATAGCAATAAAAAATGCTCTTATTTCTGTTTTTAAGCTCGATTTTCCCCGGTCTCGAGTCCGGTCTGCTAGCGCGGGCTCCTTTCCTGCACAGCAGCTGGTAATCAAGCCTGTTCAGTTTTAAGTGGTACCTTTTAGGGGTCAAATAAAGCTCGAGCTACGCCCAGATTGGTCTACTTTGGGGGCTTAATTCAATTTTCCGAGGAGCATCCCAGATTTTTTCACATAGGAGTCTTCCCCCCAGGGATTTTGTCTCAACGAAGGATGGCCGAATGAACTAAGTGTTCGTTCGAGGTAAAGCCACGAAATGCATTTTGAGGCCAGAAAACGACCAATATTTCAACAACTCGCGGTGTTCAACCAAGTATTTCTCCAAAGCGAAGAAACTGAACAAACAAAACGAGGAAATCTCCATGCTTTGTAAACACGATATGCAAATCACCACGTACGAGTGTCAATATTATACGCTTACCAAATCCTGTTCCTTTTCAAAGCTTCAATGATGGTTTCTTGACCTTTCTTGGTTTCCAACCGTAACAGAAGAAATTTTAGCAGTCTGCGAAGCGGCTATCCCTACTAACAAAATAAAAAAACTTCAATACTCGTCTGGCAGTATTCGCAAATACCGTTTTATTATTTTAAGACCTGAGGTTATCGGCCAAAACCGACAGGATGAAAATCGCATTAATCATTTAGAAAGAGAGAGTTTTTTTTTAGCGAAACGGTTGCTTCCTAAAACAAAAAATTTCTCCATTTAAAAAATAAAATTAACTGATATCTGTTCTATGCAATGCCGTGAAGCAGAGCGGACGAGGGCGAGAGAAAGGAGGCAAAATATATAGAAACGAAGAACGATGCGAGGCGGAACCTGCCAGGAATAGCGAAGGGAGGCAAAATAAAAGCGAGGAACGCCACGAAAGAAAGCAAGCGAGGAATAGAGAATGGAGGCAAAACATAAGCTTAAGTCGGGAACGCCGAGAAGTAGAGCAAGCCAGGAATAGAGAATGGTGGCGAAAAGATTATTTCAATTCAGTCTTCACAACTTTGGCTGGAAGGTCAGGTCTGCCTGGAAGATTCACACTGAAATGAACTGCCAAATTCCGGTACGCGACTCTTTGTTTTAGAACTTTCGTCGCGTTTTCTATAAATATGATCAGGTTGCTTCGGCGAAATAAGCTTATTTCAATAGGAGTTGTGAAGTCTTTGTGAGCTGAAACCATGCTGTGAGACATGTAATAAATTTCATTATCTTAACAATATAAACAATTGAGTCGCTTTGTCGAAGTTGTTGTAAACTGCATATTGTAAACAAATAGTTTTCTAGTTCCCCCGGAAAAGCGCGCTTCGAGCGCTGTAGCTCCACTATAAATTCCTTTTGACTAGGCGTCACCCTTGGCGTCGTCGTTTTCACTTGTTTACCCTGTTTATTATCATAACTATTTGGCGAAACTCCGCACGGCGAAACTGATTTTCTTTTCGTAAACGGTCGATGCCGGAGCGTAGGGACTCCACTGCGGCTTTCCATCGGACCCGGTTTTGTGGGTCCGTTTCACTTGATTCCATGACATCCCATATGGGTTATTGACCAAGTGTGAGGTCAAGATGGCTGGATATTGGCCGTTCTTTTTATGTGTGTGTCGGAGTCGAGGTCCATAAACTCGCAAAAAAAAGAACGAGGCCAATATCAAACCATCTTGAACGAACAAGCTTGGTCAATAAAGGATTTATTATTTGGCTTTCGGAGAAATTGTTCTTTCGGGACGCGGCGGGTAGTCCCGGGCGGGTAAGATAGCTCCATCTTGCCCGCTCGGGTAGCCAATCACAGGGCAGGATTTGATTCATCTTGACCGCTCACGGAGCTAGCTCCTCGTCCCCAGGATTTCGCGCGGCCATTTTTTTCTCCCGGTGTTCTTTCGCGTCACGCACGACGGACTAAGCGAAAGAGGGACTACTCGTAGTCTAGGTTTGGAGCTGGGCTATGATTTTCTTTGTTAGTCTCCAGGTCTCGGATCCACAAAGCAGAACCGACTTCACGATGGAATTGAAGACCCTTATCTTCGTACACAGAGAGGTGAACTTTGATCTCCATATTGGACTAAACTTGAGAAAGCAGCTTGTACTTTCCTGCACCTCGCCCCAACATCTTCCTCAGGGCCGCCAATGGCGGTGATAATGCTGCTTAGGTGTAGGAAGGCTGTTACCCCCTCTAGGATCTCTCCTGCACGGCTGATGTTGCCAGTCTTTGCTGGGGACCGAATCCTCATCTCCTTGGTTTTGGTTGCATTTACCTTGAGCCCGATCCTGGCAGCTTGTTCTTGCAGTGCCTCGACCTTCTGACGCGTGTGGTCGATCTTCTGGCTCAGCAAAACTATGTCGTCTGCAAAGTTCAAGTTCTTTAACTTCTGCAGCAGGGTAATTTGGATTTCTGTCTCATTATCACCAAAGGCTTGACGAGATACCCAATCTAGCGCGACGAGGGGCTGAGCAGCCACCCCTAGCAGACTCCTGTACTCATGCTGAAGGGCTCTGTCATATCACCATCACGAAAGACCCTTGCTTGCAGACCATTGTTTAAGACCCGGATCATCCTCACGATTTTCTCAGGGATCCCTTGGTACTGCAAGATCTTCCAGAGCACCTCCCGATCCACAGAATCAAAGGCCTTTTCAAAGTCTACAACAACCAGATATAGCCCATTGTTCCATTCCTAACGGTGGCCCTTCAGTAAGATCCTACGGATCTCTGGTGCTGGCCTGTGCAAGACTTCCTGGAAGTATTCCTTCCATCGGTTAAGTTTGTAATATGACCTGGTCAGGACCTCCCCGTTTTTATCCTTACCCGGGTTTGCTCTGGACAGGTCTTCGCTCACTAAGCAGTCTTATGAAAGTTCATCAATTCCCCTCCTCTTGTCCTTCCTTTAGCTTCTCTTCACCTCGTGATTCTTTTTGTTGTACATGTTCGTTCCAGTCAACTTCTGCTTTCTCGTATTTGCAGCTTCTAGCTTTGGCTTCAGTGCACGTCTCTCCTCAGCAAGTTTTCAGGTGTCCTCACTCATCCATGCCTTCCTCTCTCTCCTGGCCTTTCCAAGTACTTCTTCGCAGGTCGATGAGTATATTTCTTTGATCTTGCTCCACTCCTGCTCAACATCTAGCTCTGCGTCCTCTTTTTCATCCGATACATTGTAGAAGGCATCATACCTGTTGCCCAGTGCAATGACAAACTCCTCCCTCACACTTTGGTCTCTGTACCTGTATGTGCAGTGTTTTCTTCGTGCTGACCTAAGCGATTAGGCTTCTTCAGGGCCAACAACTTTATCTTGACCTCAGCCACAACTAGGTGGTGGTCTGATCCTGTATCTGTACTACGTTTCACCGTAGTGTCTTGTAGCGAGCTTCTCCATGCATGGTCTGCTTATAGCCACATGGTAGAGGTCCCGTCAGGGGATCTCTACGTGAGCTTGTGGGATCTCTTTTGTGGGAAGAGTGTTCCCCCGATTACAAGCTCATTTTTGATGCACAGAAGTCACAGAACATTTCGCCATTCTCAATGATCAGTCCTTCACCGTGATTCCCAATAGATGCTTCCCGATTCCTATTGTCTGAGCTCACCTTCGCCTTAAGGTCGCCGTTTGATACATAGTTTGTACATTCTATGTCCCGATTCGGGTACGGTAGGTACCTGGCGGACAATAGCTTCGGCCTTGAGGGCGTCATAGTTTTCCCCCCTGTGTTGTTGTTAGAATGGGTAAAAGTTAATTGCCCTTCCAATCCTGTGGGACCGTCCGGGAAAGGTGTGGCTGTAGTGTTAGTTTCCGTAACCGCCTTTATCCACTTGACGGGTGGTTAACTCGGCTAGCTTCATGTGCACCTATTAGCCTCAGGAGGCATTGGAGTGTTTCCACCCAACTTTCGACCTGAGTACACCCCCACACCACTATGAGGCACCTCCAAAGAGATGGGGACTGTGAGGTCCCTAGGTGCCCCTACTTCCGCTTTGGCCTCTTCTAATACTTATACACGGCACGAAAAATTGGATTTACTCTAAATTTGATCCTGATCAAAGTCGAAGTCAAATATGATCATAGCTTTGATCCAAACTTTGACGCGCGTCAAATGTGTGTCAAAAATGTCATGGCTTTGCCGATACATTTGATCCATGACAAAGAGGAGGGCAAATTTGATCTTAACTTTGACTCCACATTTGACCCACGTAAAAGGGGGAATCAAATATCTTATGGATTTGCCATACATTTGATCCCTGCTAAAGGCGAGGTCAAACATGTCAATAACTTTGACTACAGTTTTGACGCGCGTTAAAGGCGTTCAAAGACACCACGGCTTTGCATACCTTTGATCTCTTAT